TAAATGTTTACATAAAGGTCATGTGCTGGGAACCACTTTAGGTGATACTGCTGAAAAACCTTTATGGGCAAACCTGATGGTTTTGAACCATTGCAGGAGCTTAACCCTTCAGTTCCTTCCCTCCATCAGTTATGACTCCAGGCCTCCCAGTCCAGGGTAAGATGACATGCATTTGACCTTGAGTATATAGGTTATCAATCCTTTAGTTTGAATAAGCTTTTGTATGTCAAGGAGGAAAAGTGGCACAAAAGTGTCTGACAAGACCCCAGGCCACTTAGGTCTATCAGCTCTGTACTTGCTCTGTTTATGTTTTCCACAGCAATGATCAGTTTCTGAAATTCAGGATTTCATAGGTTATAACTTATTATCTAGACTGTAAATCTACAGTGAGTTCTAAGGTGTAGGGTGTTGGAAGGGTGCGTTTGTCACTGTGTATTCAATACTGATTTCTGTACCTAGAAAGGTTACAGTCCAGACTTTGGCCTTGTCATTATTAGGAAGCATCTCCTGCCTTGTATGTTGTAAGCTTTGTTCATCACCTTCTGATTGGTTAAATAAAGAGCTGAACAGCCAATTGCTGGGCAGGAGAGAATAATGACAAACCTCCAAGCCCAGGGAGAGATTCTTGGGTGGAGAGAGAAAGAGAGAGAAAGAGAGAGAGAGAGAGAGAGAGAGAGAGAGTTGTCATGATGGACAAGGGTGGAGAAGGAGTAGCCAAGGCAAGCTAGGATGGCAGGTAATGGGCCACATGGCTGGGGAGTAGGTCAGGCCACTACTGACAGGTTAGAATAGCTGAGTATCTGCCCAACTATAGAGCCTGAAGCTTTAATGAAGATAAAGGTTTCTGTATCAGAATTGAGAACAAGGGCAGGCAAAGAAGAAACCTTGCATTTTACAGTAGGGCAATCATACTTATTTTCCTGATAAATTATGGTATCCAAAGCAAAGCCTGAGAAATGGCATACACTTCGGTACAAAGCATGCGCACTGAGAGATATTAGTTTAAAGAAGTGAGGGTGAAAGTTAATTTTCAGTCTCCTGACTTTGCCCCTTTGTAGCATTACAAGTTTTCCTTGGCTAACAAATCATGTAAATGTTAACTGATCTGGAGACAGCCTCATCCTGGACAACTGTTCTTTAAGAGAAATTAGCTCCATCCAGGGTGTGACTGAGTCTCAAGAACTATCTGATGAAAAGGACGGAACTAAAGAAAGGGTCAGCAGAGAGTCTGCCCCAGTGTTCTCCTCGTGGGCCATGTATCCCTTTAGACATGGTGTGGGTGTTTACTTACCATCAGGCATCAGTTCTAGCACCAGGGTGGGGTAGGCATAGTTAGTGCAGCCAACCTCGGTGCCACACTGTTTCACACACTCAGAAGGTACAACGCAGGCCACCTTATCTGAGAAGAGACACAGTTCATTGAGCAGGACCCAGCTAGGTACAATCTGCAACGGGAAATAGGAAACATGCAAGATCATAGATGGGAGAAGCTCTATTTGCCTAGAAATTGGATACTGAACCTTGAATTTGATACACTAATGCCTAGCTTGGAAAAGACAGTGAACGCTGTGTAATCTGTTGAAAATAGAAATGTCTTTCATTCATCATAAAAGATTGGTTGTATTTCCTTTACATTATATAATAAAGAAAAAGTAATTTTTCAAGAAAAATATTTCAGCAGTAGTCATTCTCATCTGACTCAAAATTTATTTCCCCAATGCTTTGAAAAAAATTCAGTTTTAAAGTTCTCTCAAAGACCAAGATGTGAGTATGTGCCCCCAAGACCTTGGTCAAAGATTGCCACATCCAATCACAAACGGTCAAGCAACTCATCCTCGCTCAGTTCTGCCTCATCCCGAGGGTACTCCTGGACTACCTCACATTACGTCCACAAATGGAAACCGGATGCGCAGTTTCACATGTCTGCAAGGACACAGGCAGCACGTATGAAAGCGATACTTAAGAGTGCCAAGTCTGCCAAATGTTCCACCTCTGATTCTTTTCCCAGAGGTGCCTTCCTCCATAGAACCTACACAAGTTTCTCTTATCTTAAAAACCACAGACACCAGCATAGAGAAGAGGATTCACGTGTCCATGGCTTGCCTGTGTACAGAATGCGGCTGATCATCCCTGGCATCACCATGATGAACATGGGCAGCAGCTTCAGGTAGCCACACAGGATGCAGGCCGCCTTCACGTGAGACATGTTCTTGCCACACAAGCAGCGCTGTACGATGACCTGCCGGGAAAACACAGTGCATTAGTGTAACAATCCAACAATGGCTATAAAGAGAGTGAGAACGCACCTTCAAGGCTTAATATTACAGTAAGAAATTGTATGGCTAGGGCTGAAGACATGGCTCAGCACTTTAAAGCTCTTGATATTTTTCATGCAGAGGACCTGGGTTCAGTTCCCAGGAGCCACAGCCATCTTCAACTCCAGTTCTGGGAGAATCCAATACTCTCCTTTGACCTCCATGGATAGAACACACACAGATTGTGCACATACATACATGCAGACAAAACATTTCCCATGGAAACGTCACAGTCAGAAAACCATGAAAACAGTGCATTGAGTCATTCATCTCTAGATTTCCTCAGACTACTCTGCAACCTCATCTGGTTAGAGATTGAAAGTGACAGGGTGGGTAGGGTCCCAAGGGGAGGGACTTGATAGACATCCCTTAGGGCTGAGTGTTCCAAAGACTCTCACTCTCTGCACACTGTCTGCCTGTGGGTCTCTGTATTGGTTCGCATCTGCTGCAGGGGGATGCTTCTGATGATGGCTGAGCAAGGCTCTGATCTATGAGTACAGTGGAATGTTGTTAGGAGCCATTTTATTGCTAGATTTGTTTGTTTGTTTGTTTGTTTGTTTGTTTTAGCCAAACAGAAGTAATTGGTTTTACCCTAGGTCCCTGGGCTATCTGGTCTTAGGTTGTGGCCACTCAGTCAGTGTCATGTTTGAGTTCTATCTCATGGAGCGGGCCTTAAGTCAAACCAAATCTTGGCTGATGACTTCCTAAGCTTTGCTTTACCCTTGCATTAGCATATCTTGCAGGCAGGTGACCATTGTAGATCGAGTGTTTGTAGCTGGGTTGGGGTTTACCTTTTTCCTTTGGTAGCATGCAGAGTACCTTCTAGTACTATGAACAGAGTTTGTTGAGGTGAAAGTTCTAGGTAGGCACCAGCTCAACTTCTCTGTTCAGTGATGTGTAGGTATTGTCTTCAGCAGTAGGCCCTTACTGTCCATTTGTGCAGGACAACCAATGGCCTTGGCAATAGCCTGGGTTGTTTGTGGGTTTCCATAAAAGACTTTTACCATTCCCAGATCCCTTTGCTCTGTATGCCTGCGCCCCTGCTTTCCAGCTGTGCTGCTAATGGGCTCTTATTCCTCTGGAACCACAAACTCGAATAAACCCTTCCTTCTAGGAGTAGTGTTAGGCACAATGATCACAGCAACAGAATAGCACATGGTTGAATGAAAGAAATGGGAAAAAAAGCAGAGAAGAATGTTTTGTTGTTGTTGTTTGTTTGTGTTGGTTTTTAGAAAACCCACTGTATTATTCTAGTTATGATAGCCAAAACTGGTTTTCTCTGTGTAAACCTGGCTGTCCTGCACTTGCTTTGTAGACCAAGTTGGCCTCAAACACAGAGAAATCCAACTAACTCTGCCTTTCTTATTGCTGGAAGTGAAACCTTGTATCACCATGCATAGACAGAAACCTCTATCTCCAAAATTATTTACATTATGATTCATAACAGTAGCAAAATTACAGTTATAAAGTAAGCACTAAAAATAACTTTATGGTTGGGGTCACCACAACATGAGGAAGTGTATTAAAGGGTGATAGCATTAGAAAGGTTGAGAACAACTGCGCTAGAATGTTTCTATCTATTGTCTATATTTTGACAAGTTGCTCCTAAATTTTTCTCCAGTTTTCACAATCCATCACCACCATCTTTTTGAGACAGGGTTTCTTTGTGTAACAGCCTTGGCTGTCCTGGAACTCATTCTGTAGACCAGGCTGGCCTCGAACTCACAGAGATCTTCTTTCCTCTACCTTTTGAGTGCTCCACTTCCTGGCCTGTCTCACCATTTTGTTTTTGAAGGACAGAATTTCTGAGCATAATGTTTTGGTTGGCACATCTTTTCCCTTAAGATTTTTTGAACATAAGAATTTTACTTTTTTCTGGTTTTCAAGAGTTCCATTAAAAAATCAGTTCATCCTCAGGGGGCTTCTGTCATGTATAGAAAGTTACCTTTTTTTTTTTTCAGCTTTCAAAAATTTTTCTTTGCATTTATGTTTTGACAGTTTGACTGTAACATGTCTTCATGTGAACATCTTCTGAATCATCCTATTAGCTGTTCCATGAGATTTCTAGCTTTGCATTTCTATTTCCTTTCGCAGACTTTCAAGACTTTCCACCACTATTTCTCTAGTTTTTATTTTGTATTGTTTTGTGTGGGTTTTTTTTGTTTTTTGTCTCTATGTGTCTTCTCATTTTGGTACAATGGTAATGGGCACATTATTCTACTTATTTGTGTCTCCCCTAAAACAATCTCATTACTTTTTTCCATTTAGTTAACGCAGTATTTCCAGTGATTTTCTTCAAGATTGTTACTTATTTTTTTTACTTGGTGCATCTGATGCTAAATTCCTTTATTTACTTTTTAGCTCAGTTATGTCTCATTTCCCTCAATGACTTGTTACTTTTAAATATTCTCTATTTCTTGTGAGGTTCCCAGTCTGGCTATGTGTTGCCTTCTTCTCCTCCTTGATCTGGTTCTAGGCATTCTTTTGAATACCGTGCTAGATAAATCACATAGCTCTATTCCATTATGAACAGTTTATGAATATTTCACTTACTGTTAGTTGGAATAGCTTTTCCAGTTTCTACATTTTTTTTCAATCTTTCTGTGCAATATTGTGTATTAAATAAAAGAGTCAAGTTTCCAAATTTAAGTAAACTGTTCTGTGTGGGAGCCATATCTCTCTCATTAGCAAAGTGTGCCTTTCATTCCATGTTCCCCTGAAATCTTCTAAGACACACTGTTAGCAGCTTGTAAAAAATCTGTGTAAAGTCTTGTTCTTTTGTTTAAAGATATAGGAGGGGGATAGAAAGGGAGTATATTATATTATTATTGGCATATTATAATATAGTATTGATATATTATTATTGATATATTGACAAAGCAATATTATTATTGGTATATATTAATATTATTATTGATATGTATTATTGATATATTATTGCTGCCACAGCTTTGTTGAAAAATGCCGTGAGGGTCTTTCACTAATCTGCAGATGTTTTGATACATAATGAGCAGTGATTGCCAAGAAATTTCAAGATAAAAGTAAGAATTGTTAATTTAATGAAAAAGGATAAAGTTAAAGGAAACCATAACACAGACACACAAGTGTTTCCTCTGTGTGTGTGTATCTGTGTGTCTGTGATAGCAAATAATTAATTTTACACAATGACAAAAGTTGTAGACTGAACGCTGATTCCAAACACTGAGGTCAAGGTCTGGAGAAAGATGAAACACTCGAAGACTGGGTTGTCCTGGAAGACTGGGAACTGAAGAAGAAAGTTAAATTCTCAACTAACAGAAAAACCAAGTTTCAAAACCCTATTTAGTGTGTCACTTTACAGTATTGCTGTCAAAAAGTATATCAATTCTGATGTGTCACAGAATATACCAAATCCAATGCTTTAGAGAATGGAAATAAAGTCCAACAAACTTAAGCAAAAGAACTGACGTGTCCATCTCTGAGGGGGAAAAACAGTACAGTGAGGAAGGACCAAAACATCTATTTTCTACAAGACAAGACAAAGAAAAGTGTTTGACAGCTTAACTATTACTTACATGTGCAAAACAGAGGCTAGAGGCTTTCACACGAAACAGGAAAACTAAGAATGAACACAGTCACACATGCAAAGGTACATGCTCACCTGATCTGCACACCAGTACCATATAGCTAGAATGGTCATTCCGAATATCAGTCCTGGCCACGGGATGTCGCCAGTGATGGGATCCCAGAAGATGTGGAAGGCGTCCGGCTGAGGAGTGTAGCACTTGGGGTCGATGGTCAGGTTGTCCCCCTCGACCACAGAGGGAATGGCGTTCATGTACTTCTCTGTGAAGCTCTCATAACCACCGACTTCAGCAAACGCTAGAAAGGCAGCAGATCAACCACTGTGTGACTATTTCAAACACTTCATGTCCACGAGTGCTCGGCTGCAGCGAAGGTCCTTGAGTACTTCCTGTTAGCCTGGTCATGTCTTCAGCACTTTCCCCCAATGATCCATGGTGCCTTTATTGTTTCTCCACTGGGATTGACCATGGTAGAATATTGACATTCACAGAGAACTCAGAACTCACACATTTAAAAAAATTACACAGCTCAAATAAAGTCACCAGTGAATAACATTTGCCTAGTACCAAAGTCCATATACCTCACTAGACTTTCCATAGTTAAAACGTGGCCATTTTGAAGCAGTCGAACTCTGTTATGGTTTTACACTTCCTTGTCAATTACATTTTCACTCATCTCACACACACACACACACACACACGGACACGCACACGCACAGCCATGACAGCTGATACCAGAAAAAATAGCTTTCTACCCTTTCACAGCTGCATTCTGTCCTTCCTCATCACCAAGTATTACCCCCTTTCCATCACTTCTCTAAATGTTATACTATACCCACATTCACAGTGTTTAGATATATGCATGCATGCATCAAGGCTAGGATCTTCACTGGACGAAAATATGTGATGCTTGTTTTCTGTTTGAGTCATTTTGCTGAATATTGTACTGTTCATGTCCACCCACTTTTCTGCAAATTCCATAGTGAAGCAGGAGAAAGTCTAATTCTTTTGAAGAGAGCAGAAAGAAATGGCTTCCATTCTGGCATTGGAGACCAAGTGATATAAATTTTATTGTAGTTTGTTTTCCTGATTCAACACTGTGTCCTTCCTTCCTTCCTTCTTACTTTCTTTCTCCTCCTCATCCTTCTTTTTTTTTGTTTGTTGTTGGCTTTGTAAACCAGGCTGGCCTCGAACTCACAGAGATCTACCTCCTGAGTGCTGGGATTAAAGATGTGGGCCACCAATGCATAGCGCCTTTCTTTCTTAAGAGACTTAAAATGTCTAATATGCACAGAATAACCAAAAAGCAATAGGAAGTAGACAAGGAACAACTATAGTAGTTTTTTCTTGAAGTCATGATGGGCAGACACTGAAATTCCAATACTGAACAACAGAACCACATTAAAAACCAGACAAAATTGGAAAGTGGGACAGAGGGAGAGAAGGTGGTCAGAGTACCTAACATGAAGGATGGAGAAGATGCAGAAGGCATGATGTATGAAATGAGGTTTCTAAAAACAAAATTACCTTTGTTTAAGGTTTTTTCAAGGCTGATTGGTTAAAACCTCAGTGATTGGGGAAAACTGGGAATCCTCAGGTCTTATCTTGTGCTGTCTTTTGAAATGGGAACTACGATTTTATATGAACAAGTATGAGGCAAGAGAGAGGCCTTTGTATTAGGACAGGAAGGGAAAGAGAGGAAGAAAGAAGGAGAGAGACTGAGGAGGAAAGAGACAGAGGCAGAAACATAGAGAAACACAAAGAGGGGCACAGAGAGACACACACACACATAGGGAAAAGAGAGAGATTGCGAGAGGGAGAGTTAGGAAGGGAGGGAGAGAGAGACAGAGGCAGACACACACACACACACACACACACACACACACACACAATCTGTAAGAGAGATGGAAAATCCTGGAGTTTTCAGAGCATATAAGCAACTAGAAATGTCTTTCTTCTCATCCATAAGTCATGGTAAATGTCAGGAAGACATTTTGAGAGAATTATGCCTGAGTCTGAGCTTGAGAGTCAAAATTCTGAGTGCAGATAGGGCTTTTGGGACTCTTTCTTCCCACTGGGTCACCTATCCAGTCTTAATAAAGGGAGAGATGCCAGTCTTATTGCAATTTGATATACCATGTTTGGTGGTTATCCTTAGGACCTGTCCTTTTCTGAAGGGATAGGAGTGGGGATGGGGGACTAGGAGGAGAGGAGGAAGGGAAAACTGCAGTTGGGATGTAATATATGAAAGACAACTAAAATATATATATATATTTATATATATATATATGCCAAAAACAATGCAGAAAGTTTTGACTCTTTATATGTATATAAAGTAACTTTATAAATAAGTTTATACATATACAAATATATAAATATATAAATATATATATATATATATATATGTATGTATGTATGTATAAAGAGTCAACATTTCCCGCATTGTTCTATCCCTGGGAACCCACTGTAAAGACCAGGTATGTAGACAAGTCAGTTCTGCTCCCGAGAGCTGATCTAGCTACAGGGGAAAGACTTCCAGAAACAGACGTGTAGCTCAACATGGCGGGTACAGTGTTCAATGCTTGTCTGTTAGAACACATGCTAGCATGGAGTTGTGCAGGGGAATTTTGAGTGATTGTGAGAAAACTCCAAGAAAACAAGACTCTTGTGACCTGACTTTCTTTAAAAAAACAACAACAACAACAAAAAAACAACATAAATTGTTCATGGAATGTGCTTTCATGCCTTTCCCAGGTGTAGCAGATAAGAGTTAACGTTAGATTATTTATTACTGAAAGATCCCTGGAGGGTATCTTTCGTCTGAGAGCCCCCAGCCCAAGGATCAACGAGCCCAGGCGTTCGGATGCAAACAGCAAGAGGCTTTTATTTTGATACACGGGTACCCGGGGCAAAAAGTCATTCGGGGGACTTCCGCGCCCCCTAGGTAGGAAGCTGGGGTTTTTATAGGGTTTTAGAGCAGAAGCACTGGTACAGAAGCGAGAAGCATGGTTACAGGGGGCTGATTGGTACATTTTCATGAGACCACGATTTGCGTCAAAGTTTTGCAGGGGCACCAAGATTCCAGGAACTGGGTGGTCAAGGGGGCTATGATGACCCCTTGACGTGGCCCGCCACCTGTTATTTTGTTTTTCTCTATCTTAACTGAAACAGTCTCACAGATATCTATGAGGGTGATTAACACAAACTGTTTTTAGTTTGACTGGGGCAGCCTGACCACAGATATCCCAAGTGGGTGACACAGCTAGGATTTCTCAGTAATTTTCCAGTTTCTCATCTGGCCTTCAGAGTTTTACAAAACAGTGGTGTCCCACAAAATGGCGTTAGCTATGTTTAACTTAGTGTGAAGCTGGGGTCTTTCAATTACAACTGGCGATTGTTACATGTTTATGTGCGTCTATGGAAAAACATGTTTTTGCTATGTAAAGATTGTCTTTGTGATTGTACACTTACTCAGGCGACTCTTCTGAAACTCAGAGTACAAACTGTCTGATGCTCTGAATAAACTTAGCTATTGCTTGAGACTCTGGTGTCCCAGGTCCCACTGCCTCTAGAGCATGGATCAACTTGACACGATCTAGAATGATCTAGGAGAAAAGCTCCTGGGGCATATACCAAATATTAGAAAAATTTGCCAAGAATTCCTCCAACAGGGAATTAACATACAGAATATTTAGTAAACACAGAAACTCCCAGAACTTTAGTGGTTGAAACAGATGATTGTCATGACCTTGAAGCTAATTTAGTGAATTCCAGGCATCCATTACATACTGAGACCATTTTTTTTAACTCCAAAAATGCAAGCATGAAAATAATAATTAATCCAACAATCTGGTACTATAAATGGACAAAGGTACTGAAGAGTTTTCAAATAAAGTTCTAATGACCGTTAAGCACATAATAAAAGAATTCAATATCCTGGGCCATCACCTAATCCAAACCCAAACTACATTCGGGTTTTTCCCCTTTTTAAATTTAATTTTTAAAATTTCCTCTTCCTCCCCCATCTTCTTCTTCATCTACACAACTTCGTGGTTTTTTCCTCTTAAAACATAAAACAACGCAACCAAAAAAAAAAAAAAAAAACCCCCCCCCCCAACTCTCTCCTCTCCTCACAAAAACATGGAGTCTGATTTTGGCCCACTACTTCTGAGCATGAACCCTGCCCTGGAATGTGGCTGATATAAAGAAAACTAATATTTCCTCACCTAGCAGATATCAGTTATAAATAGCTTCTGGGTTAGGAGTGAAACTTTATGGCCTCTTCCCTTTCTCTCTTCTGGGGTTTGTCTGGCTTGAACCTGCGCAGCTCTGTGCATGCTTTCACAGTCTCTATGAGTTCACTCCTATTGTGGCTGGAAAATCCTGTTTCTTTGAAGTTTTCCATCACCTTTGGCTCTCCGCCTCCTTTTCCTCATGAGCTCCTGAGCCTTGAGAGAAAGGGAGTGATAAAGACCTCCCATTCAGGGATGAATGTTTTAAAGTCTCTCATTCTGTATACATTACAGTGTTATGCGTCTCTGCTAATTCCCTTCTATTGCAAGAAGAAGCTTCTCTGATGAGGGTTGAATGATCCACTGATCTATGGGTATAGCATATGTCATTATGAGCTATTTTATTGTTAAATTCACTTAGCAGGATAAGAGGAGTAAGTTTTCTCCTAGGGCCCATGACAGATCTAGTCTCAGGTTACTGGCTTGATCAAGTTTGCAAAGTTGATTTCTAGCTCATGGAGTGGGTCTTAAGCTCAATTTAAAAACAACAAAAACAAAAATGATTGGTTACTCCCATAATATTTGTGCCACCATTGCACCAATGGATATATCTTGCAAGCACGCCATATTGTAGATTTTAGGGTTTGTAGCTGGGTGAGATTGATGCTTACTTTTATCCTCTGGTAGTCCATACAGTAGTTTCTAGCACTCTAGATGTAAGTCAATTGAGGTAAAACTTCTAGTTGTATATCTGCTTTTTTTTTCTATATTTGATAACATAAGTATGTGATGTTCTCAGCAATAGTGTCTTATAGTCAAGTTATGGAAGGGAACCAAGAACATTAGTGATAACCTGTAATGTTTGGGAGGGAGCACCTAGAGAACCCTTTTAGCCAAAACCTCAAAAGATGTAGCCCACTCCTGGTACTGGGGTTTTATTTAGAACATATGATATAGTCTACCATTGTATGGTAACACTACTTAAATTCCTTTTATATTTATATGTATATTAGGATGAGTCTACATTAGTAGGTTTTTATAGAGCTTTTCAAAACTCTTTTAGTGTTAGTGTGGCAGTTTGAATGAGAATGGCTTTCAAATGTTTGAATACTCTGTGCCTAGTTGGTGGAACTGTTTGTGAAGAAGTAGGAAGTGTTGTGGATAGTTTTAGGTCAACTTGACATAATGTGCAGCCATCTGAAAGGAGGGAACCCCAATTAAGAAAATGCCTCCTCAAGATTGGGTTGGAGGCAGTCCTGAAAAGCATTTTCTTAATTAGTGATTTATGGTGAGAGCCCAACACATTGTGGAAGGCACCAATCATTGGCTGGTGGTCCTGGGTTCTATAAGAAAGCAGGCTGAGCAAGGCATGAAGAACAGCCAGTAAGCAGCACTCCTCCGTGTCCTCTGCAAGAGCTCCTGCCTCCTGTCCTGTCCTGACTTCTTTCAGTGATGAACAGTGACGTGGAAGTAAAAGACAAATAAGTAAGCAAGTCTTCCTCCAACTTGCTTTTTTGGTTATGATGTTCCATTGCAGCAAGAGAAACCCTAACCAAGACAGGAAATATGGACTCACTGGGGGTGTAGTGTAACAAGATGGGTGGGATTTGAGCTTTCAAGAGATTCATAGCACTTTCAATGTCCAGTTCGCTTCCTGTTTGTGAGCTCAAAGCTTCTGCTCTGCAACCTTGCTCCTCTCCACCAAAGATCATGAATTCATATATCTTTTGATATGTAAGCCCCAAACAAACCTTCAATCTAAAAGTTGCCTTGTCATGGTGTTTTGTCACAACAAGAGAAAAGCAACTAAGACATAAGTTTCTGTGACAGGCTTGACCATGGTGGAATTTTTGGAGGAATGTGAAAGGTTTTAAGGACTTTGGACTAAAAAAGCAGTTGGATGCTATGAGTAGAACTTAATGGGCTGTCCCAGCGCAAGCTAGAAAAACGCAGTATGTTCCAATAATCTACACATCTGTTTTTGTGCCAGTACCGTACTGTTTTTGTTATTATGGCCCTGTAATATATATTGAGATCTAAAATGGTAATCTGTCAGAATTTCTCTTTTTTCTCAGGATTGTTTAGCTATCTGGTGTCTTTTGTGCTTCCATATAAATGTTAGGATAGTTTGTTTGTTTTTTTCCTATTTTTTTAAAAAGATGAGATGAGATGAGAACTTTGATTGGACTGTGTCGACTCTATAAATAGCTTTTGGTAAAATACTTACTTTACCAAATGTTTTTTCCCCTAGTGTCTTTATCTTTTTCTTCGGAGGTTTAAAGTTTTCATTGTGTTGTCTTTCATTGTCTTGTTTAGCTTCACGCCTAGATATTTTGTTTTCTTTGAAGCTGTAGTGAATGGAAGAGTGTCTATGATCTCTTTCTCTGTATGTTTGTTGTTGGTATTTAGAAAGGCTATTGATTTTTAAAAACTTATTCTGTATGCTGCCACTGTTAAAATGTTTGATTATTTCTAGAAGTTTTTTGTAGATTTTTTTAGTATTATTTCTCATGTATACTATTATTTCATTTGAAAATAGGCATAGTTTGATTTTTTTTTTCTGATTGTTTTTGAGATAGGGTTTCTCTGTATAGCTTTAGCTGTCTTAGACTTGCTTTGTACACCAGGCTGGCCTTGAACTAACAGTGATCCATCTGCCTCTGCCTTTAGTGCTGAGATTAAAGGCGAGTACCACCATCCCTGGCTCCAAAGATTTCTTTTCCCATTCATATGCCTTTAATTCCTTTCCATTGCCTTATTGATCCAGCTATTGTTTGAGCACAATTATCTAGTTTAACCTCAAGATACAAAATTGAAAATAGCAATCATATACTCATAAAAAATCAAGAAATTCAAGAAAGACACAAAGAAACATCTAAATTAACTAAAAGAAAAGTAACTCCCGAGGTGATGCACAAGAAAGCATGAATACAAGGTTGGAGGAGATGATGAGGAAAAGAGTACAGAATTTGAAAATGTCATAAGTGATGGAAATTTGAAAAGGGCTCAAGCTGAAATGAAGATGGAATTGAAAAGTATACAACCCAACTAGAAAACTCCAGGGAAATCCTTACAAGCACAATGGATCAAGACGACAAGAATATGAGCCCTCAAGATAAAGTAGACAGTCTAGATGTTTGCTCACATCTGCCCAGGAAACGTTTATGTGACAGTGACTACCAACAGATGAATGAGCCTGGTGCTGCAGGACTGCTATTTCCCCTGTCTACCCACAGTTTCCAGCACAGCAAGAACCCCAACCGGGTGACTGGACGGTTAACATTCCCGTTAAGGGAATTATAGGATATGGAAGTATGACCCAGTAAAAACTGGGAGTCAACGTCACAGACCAAGCAGTCAGAAACATCTCTCATAGTTGTCAGCCCAAAGCCTGGCACACTGCCATCACTTACCAAACCCCATGAGAATGAAAGAGCCAACCAACATGATGAAAGTCTGGATAGAATCTGTGTAGATCACTGAGGCCAGGCCCCCTGTGGAGAGAAATTAATGGACAGGACGTTTTATCCATGCACACTGATTACTTTGTCTTCAGCACTGGGCTCTATTCCAAACATACAAATGAGTCCATGTAACATAGCTCCCATGTGAGCCACAGATTCTCTTGACACCAGTTTCTCCTCAGTGTTCATTGATGCATTTAGTTCATGTCCTCTTTCTCCTGTCTTACTGAGATGGATGCAAAGTTCTGTGAATTATGGTGGAGTTCTGTCTTGGTGGGTTTTTGGATATTAAATAAGGGAGAAGTGAAGATTTTATGCTATGAAAGTTTATCATGACACTCTACCCAATTCTCCTCCCCATTTGGGTTGATATATCTTATCTTAGAAAACCTTGTTTGTTTGGGACACATCATTGTTTAATTAGTTGGAGTCCAGAAATAATTACTGACTTGTGTATTGTAACAATGCTGTGTGGGGACTATGATGAGGAAACAAGAATGATCTAGGAAATCTGAGGTCAGGCTCCCAATCCTCGTGAGTCTGAAATTGTGTTCAGTGTGCAACAGTGACTTCAGATTATCTTGTTCCGACTTTTATTTTTTCCAAGTCAGCTAGTATAAACTATAGCAGCTGTTTTAAAATGTGTGCAAATGATTTTAGTTTAGTACGCAAGAGACACTAGACCAACATTGAGTCTGTTGCATCATTGCCACCCACCTTCACAATCAACCTACCCCCGCAGTTCCTCCATTTCACTTGTGACAATTGTGGCTCAGTTCTGTAATCCAACATTTTTATATCTGTTTAGCCTCAGCTTATATTTTCTAGTGGGATGTTGAAACTTCTTCATCTAAGCCTTCTATGTATTCTATCAGCATAATTTTAAATGGTGTTTTAGTTACCAACACACAGCTGAGTGAAACCATAAATTCCTCAGTATGTCTACCATATCATTTTCTTCCCTTTTTTTTATTACTTCTAAGTCTTCCTATATACCCTGTCCTTGCTCTTTTTTCAAACTCATGACCTCTTTTCCCACTAACTGATGTTATGTGCATATATGTAACATGCACAAATATATACACATACATCTTTAAATATAACCTTAGTCTTTATACTGTTTTTTGATCAATCTTCTTGCATCTAATGAGGAGCATTGTGTTGTTTTTACTGTAATTGCTGTTCTGGCCCTGTGCTTTATTCCCATGGTGCCAACAGAACGGTACTTCAATTTGGCAGTCACAAGGCTAGCACTGAGGTCACTAATCACAGATGGTAAACAGAACACATTATTAATGAGTAAAACAAGAGGCAGACTCACCAGCAACTGTGTAAAAAGCGGTGATAGCCAAGAGGATGAAGACTGCCAGGTAGAGGTTTAACCCCATGGCCAGTTGAATGAATATGGCTCCAGAGAATATGGTTGCCTAGGAAAGCAATAGTTGGGCTGAGAAAGAAGCATGCATTTCAGGCCTCTGTTTGTTCTGCTCCAACATCTGCCTCCTCTTTTTGCTCACGTGATAGGCTCCTGCCCATCCTTCAAGACTCCACTCAGATGTCTCCACCACAATATTCCC